TTTATTAGACCAACTAGAAAATGGCAAGAAAATTGTCCTTTTCTGCAAGCTTTTGGGATCAAAGTCCCTTCGTCAGGCTCTGGGAAAAGTGTAGATGGTACAAGATGGTAAAAAGTCCCCATAGGTAGGAAATACATTTCATTTTTGCACAGAGGGAGCTGAAGATGGAAGCCTGTCCCTCTGGGTCCAAGAGAATGTCTTTGTGAGTTGAGTAGCTCTTTGATATGTTGATCAGGTAGAATTCCTTCCCTGGAGGTATCAGATGGCAGGCAGGGAGGTGAAAAAACTTCCTTGTTGTTCTGCAATGAAGTTTAAAATCCAAAATCAGCTACAATTCAGCATCTTCCATGTTTCAGGGGTGTACTTGGTAGCTGTGTTGGTCTGAGACTTCTTTATACTTCGTTTTTATCACTAAAAATTGCAACCTTGCACAGAAGCTCTGCATCTCCCTTCTCTGCAGACTCTGTATTTGTGTAAGAGAGGCCAGCTCGCAGCAGCCAGGATGGTGGTTCAAGGATGATCACCTGATTATGTGCTCTACAGGCATCTGTAGAGCACATGAGTGAGGTGTGTAGGAGGTGCTGGTGAAGTAAAGAAGAAATGGTATAAATTCTGGTCACAGCGTCTGAGCTAAGGCATGCACTGTGGACTCCCATGCACAGTGGGACCAGCGAAGGAACTAATTGAGCTGTGGAGAGGGGAAATGGACAGACTGGGGGATGCTTACACCTGGGCTGCCAAGGTGCAGGAATGGGCTATCCAGGTCCAGAAGTGGGCTGCTGAGGCCCACGAATGGGGTTGCCAGATGGCCACCCACTGTTTGGAGGAGATAACCCTGGGCCACTGCAGAGATGAGAGAGTTGTAGCTCCAGGATAAGAAGTTTATGCACAGAGTCACAGACTGCTTGGGGTCCACCTATGACACCACTGACTGGCATCAGCGCTGTCCTCTGTGGAGAGCCTGTAGCCCTTCTGGTCAGGAGTAGTGAGGTGCTATGCCATGTCACCTGGGGTGATAGGAAGGAGGATCCCATAGGGGGACCCCTGGATGGCAGCTGAGGGGGAATGCTCCCCACTGTGCCCTGACTGGGAAATGCTGGGGGGGCAAAAGGATAGGAGATGTGGCACGTGGGAGGCACTGGCCTGTGGGCCAAGAAGGCAGAAAGGTGTCTAGCAGGGCCCACTCGGGGACTAGCAGTGAGTGAAGGGAGATGGACTGGGCTGCCCAAGACCCAATGCCAGGGCCATCAGTGACACTGCCCACCTTCCAGGCCCAACACCACTAGTGGTTGCCCCATATGCACAGGCTCCCCAAGTGATTCCAGGACAGTCTCAAAGGAGTGCAGAAGTGCTCAGAATGGGTGGGGGAGTGTGCAGCCTATCAGATCACTGTGCCAGGCTGTTTCTGGGAGAGTGAATGGTAACAGAGCCAGCTGGCCCCAGCTCATCCACCCACCTGCCATGGGGCCTGTGGGGGAGCTTTTCCACTCTCTGTGGCTCCAGTCCTGGCCTGGGTCCCACTGGGGTGGAGCAGTGCAGCCGTGGTGGGGATAGGCATCCCCCAGGCTCAGGGCAGCCCAGATGTGATCAAGGTCTGTGAGTCCAGGATCCTCAAAGGGGGAGACTGGGTCCCAGAACCATGGGCTGAGGGGCCGGGGGTCCCATGTGGGAGAGCCAGTGATAGAGATCATGGTGCCTGCTGGGGCAATGCCTCCTGCCCCACAGCCCCCCCCTACCCCTGACCCAGAAGCTGCCTCCCACATCACAGCTCTCTCAGACAAATAGCAGGTCCAAGATCACATACCTGTCCAGCTCCTACATAGTGAGGTCCCTGGTCTTCACCCACAACCCTTGAAAGTAGGGTGGCAGTTCAAAAGCCCCCATCCGATGCCTCCACTCCAAGGTTGAGCTCAGCCCCTGTGGCATTCTCCCTGACCCGACACCCTCCTCTCCTTCCCATCCTAACCACCCCTTCCAGGTTCTTTGTCCCCTTTCTCAATCCCCCCATCCCCTCCAAAGGTTTGCTGGTTTGTGTTAATTGGGAGGTGGGACCAAGCTTAGATACAGGCAGTGTTCAATAGGGTTTCTTTATTAAACACATGAAAAGTTTGGCAGTTGCAACATTTTTGGCTTCACCGATGTAGTCTTGGTAGTTAAAGATAGTGTAGCTCTACCTGTGTGCTCTGGTTCAAATACTGTTTCATTGTTAGATCTTAAGGGCTGCTTGGCTTTTCACTCAGAGGGAGAGAGGTTATGGTGGTCCTACTTTTGTTGAGAATTTCACTGTTAGCATTCTTCTTGAAACAATCTATGTAATAATTCAATTAATTCCATCCACTGGGAGGTTTGTATTCTGATGTTTTATTGTTGTTTTCTTTATCTGTTATGTCAGGAAGGTTGTCAGAAATGGTTTTGCCTTGGTTGTATAAGTATCCTTTCAGGTGAAATCTGCAGAATAATTCTAATTCTCTACACGTTTGTATCTTGTCAGGTTATTTTTCTGGGAAGAAGTTTAGGCTTTTGGAGAGTACAGATATTTAAGAATGGGGTAGGGAATGTTGTGATAAGTTAATGACACTGGTCTTGATCTCCCACCAATCAAAGTATCTTTTCCTCTATTATTTTTTGTCTGCTACCCCAGGAATGTCTCTCTCCTCCAATTTCAGAGCCTTGCACAGTGCTTTTTTTTAATCATTGCTGTGCCCGCTTCTTCCTTCAGACTTAATGAAAAAAGCTTTGCATTTGAAATTTTGTCTAAGCCTATCCCAACCATGCAGCCAGTCCAATAAAAGATAGATATCAGCCACAAAAATCCCTATCTTCATGTTGATATTCCAGTTCTCTGCACTGATGACGCTTTCCAGCTTTGTCATCAGCAAATTTCATTGGCATGCTCCCACCTATTTGTGCCAAGATGATGAATACAAGACATAAATAGGGTTGTGTTGAAGACTGATGCTCAAGGATAATAACCACTAGTTACCTCCCTTGCAAGTTGATAATTTCCCTTTCAGATAGTTCCCCTTTCCTTTATAATTCCTATTGGCTCATCTTTCTGAATTTGTAAATTAAGGTGGGGGGGGGGGGGGGGGGGGGAAGGAAGTGATAGTCACCTTTTACAAAACTTTTTGACATAAGCAGGGAAAATTCCATTTAGCTGCTACTTATTCTGAGAAGGCTTATTTTACAGATAAGAAAACAGAAACACAGATGCTACAATAACAGGTCTAGGGTTTGGTTGCACTTTAGTGAGTTGGACTCAATTTGTAAATAAAAATCAATTTGCAATTTGATCCTGAGCAAATCAAGTACCTTATTTCAGTCCCCATTTGTAAAACATGAGCCCTGGGATGTATTTCGAATGCCACACCAGCAAAAGTAATTGTAGATGCTTGTAAATTATTTTTCAATAACTGTAATTGTAGCAGTATAGAGGGACAGACAAAACACCTCTGCACTAATTGAATCTATTATCTTTCACTGGTCTAAACATAGGTTTTTATAATTGCTGGTGGTGGGAGCACAGACCTGCTCTAAGCAGAAATGGTTCTTTACCTTTTTTTTCTCACCTGTGTAAACAGCATTTTTCTTTGTCTACTTTCCTCCTTTCACTACTCATCCTCCTTCCATCCACTTTTACCACTTGGGAATAAGATAGGGCTGGGAAACTCTTATTATGTATAAGATGAGAAAACACTAAATAATCTGTAGACAAAATCCTTGTAACAGACATTCTGTAGGAAAATGAGTGGGTTACAAGAGAAAGTATTTAAGTGCATGACATAAAGCTGGGTGAGAGATGTTTACCATGGTCTTCAAAGCCATTTTGAGATTTCAAAATGTTTCCTTTTTAAACTCAAGATGAAACGAAGAAATTAGAAAGGTTTTTGTATAAATTCTAGAAAGAGGTAAATCAAGTCTAATATAGCTTTTATAGTTAATATGCTTATCTGAGATAAGAGGGACTCAGTTTAAAGTCTCAGCTGTGTCATTCATCAATGTCTTAAGCAACCACTTTAATCACCAGCCCACTGGCTATTCTGGGATGGGGGTCTGATTTAGATCAGGTTTTTTTATGGAGGTTACAAATTTCCTGATGAGCTCTAACAGAAGGCCTGGGACCTGGTAACCTTGTTGTGCCTTCTATATACTGTCTGATGACTTCTTGTTATGAAAACTTTTTAATACCCATGGCTGAAATTGAGGAACTTTTACCAAGGTGGAATTTTTTTAAGCAAAACCAAAAGGAGAATGGAATGAGTATATATTCTGCATATGTGACACACAGTTTCCTTGATAAAAATTCCCTAATGTCTGAGGGCAAAGGGTACATCAAAATTTACTGAAGTGAGCTTTCATTGCTCAGGGAGCTATGAAATCTTATTCAATTGTGCTAAGTGGCAATGAGGGCAATTCCTTGCCCTGTGGTTTTGCAGTTTGCATGGTTCAGCTTATCTATTAAAATATTAAAAATTATGAATTATGAATTGAAGTTCATTACAATAAGATAAAAGAACTTTCTGCTCTTTTCTACATTAAGATATGCAATCAAAGCTTAAAACTTTTCAATGTTTCAGTGTCATTTAGAAATGAAATAAATCCCATTTGTCACTGAAGTCACAATGTCCATGACTTCTGGGAAATGTAATATTTTGCCATGATTGCTAATCTTTGTTTGGCAGCTCACTGCTGTCTATGACAAAAGTGTTCCAGTATCCTTTCTGCATAACAAATATCAAAAAGCCTTAGTAGCAAAGTGCCAATCACCACACTGCTCTTGGGCCTTCATAAGTTTTAACAGAAAGGCGGATTACATTTTCTTTGGTTAAAATCTAAGCTCAAATAACTAACAGAACTCTGAATGTTTAGAAGAATAAACCATCCTCTAAAATCATTTTGTAAATGTAGCAAATGCT